TATATAGAATATAATCATATCACACTAAAACTCATGGAAAAATTAACATCGTAATGGCCAACGTGCAACGGAATTCCTACTTCGATTTGTGATCTCCTTTTAACTCGATATCTTATGTTCAACAAATCTCTGGTGGACTCCTACAATGAAAAAAAATTTACACGGCAGCAGCTGATAAAAAAATGCGAGAAACTATCAAATATAGAATTTTGTCTAACGAAAACATCCTTTACTCTGCGCGGAATTAAGCAGGTACGCAAAACTTATATATACGCATACTTATCGATTAACGCATTTACGATAATATAATATGGCGAGAATCCTTTCATTCGCGCATACCAATAATAACACGTATTAAACACAATCGTGAAATTCTCCTAACCGTTATTTATAATTTACAAATAAATATAAATAGCATGAACGAAATAAGTTTCATACCACGCATTTTATGGTAATAGTTTATGGAACTCAATTCTTGATATAAAATTAATTTAGCTAAGAATAAGGAAAACGTCTAACAAAAAAAGCTTGAATGATAACGTTAATAGCTTCATCATCGTGCCGACATTACTCGTCGCATATTTCTTTGCTTTGGTATTCCTTTGCACACTGTGCCCTTGCATTTCTGTGAACCGAGTAAACGCTTTTTTAATTTTATTATAATTCTTAATTTCATTAATCCTTATCCTACGTATTTATTATAAAAGTACAAAACATATATTATTGCAGTTATTGTGAAGCATTCTGCGTGTTAGCGATTTATTGATTATGTGCCAAAAGTGTATAAGACTTATCGCCAGAGTCGGTGGATATGAATATTACGAGAATATAGAAAGATATATCTTTTTCTCGATTGCGAATGGAGTGATTCAAAGACTAACTTTGAACGTGAATTATACGTGCCAATTTTTTGACACCTTAGTTTGTTTATGAGTGATTAAATCTTATAACAAACTATTTACCTTATATATACTACTTATCGCAAAAAGTATTTAAGTGCACTACAAGATTTGCTCTTGTGAGCGGCAGCAATGACCATAGTAAGTACATGTAAGTGATATATACATACATGTATAATGATCGAGTATTTTCCCCTTTATCTCATTTATCCAGAAAATATATCCTGTAGATTACCTACTTTAATTACTTTAAAGTTTGCACTTCTACAAAAGACGGAGTTGTTCAATCGGGAAAGCACAATTTCTCGTAGTTCTATTTAGTTGGACAAGCTCGATTTAAAAACATTACCTGAGTGTTTAATTGCACTTCCATATTTAATTATAGTCGTTTTCGAACCACGACGAAGCCGACTATTCGATCGTTATCTTCGATGTAAGCGGTATTCCAATAAGCCATTACTGCCCGTGATCATTTGGACATACCATTACGAACTTTGGTCATTGCGGTCTTACGATTACCTCTACCAGGTGCATTGCCCTTTCAACCTATTTCTGTTAGACAATTTCCAAATCAAGCGTTAATATGCCTGTCATCCGTGGAATGTATGACATGGAAGAGTCGAAAATCGTTGCTGTGTGCGAAAGTCATTGTACAGTAGGATCTTGATTATCCGAACAGTCCGGGGGACGATGCCGTTTGAATAATAGAGGTTATCTAATCTCCTATTCCCACTTCACTAAGTTTTTAAGTTCGGATACGCGAGATTAGCGTTTGGCTAATAGAAGCTCGTATCTTATTCCCGCATTGTCCGGATAACCGACGACAATCCTGAAGCGATTTGGATACACGAGGTTCTACTGTACTTATTTTATGCGAACGGTAAAAAGTAGAAATATATCGCATTTTTATACGTACACATGTTGTACATATTTTATAACATATGTAGCGATGTAAGTGTACAAGAGTAAATGTATATGTATAAATCTATACAATACGTTTGTATAAATGTAAAAATGGTGAGGAGGTAAGTATGTATCTTGGCATATCGCATAAACTGTTAAAATGTAAATTGATAAGAAGATGGCATATTAAGACGCTTGTTAGGATGTACATGCGTGAAACGTTAGTCCTCTCCAGCCTTTATTACATGTAAGAAAAAATAGTACCATCTCCTGCGTAATTTATGCATACATACGTATACATATATTTATATGAGAAACAGTGGTGCACTTAATAATAATCGTGCACCAATGTGAGATTATTGTACACAGTCGCTGATAGTCATTCGATGCCTCCAAAAACAAATGAATCAATTTGACGAAAATAATGATTTCTTAAATAAACTATTAATCTACAGGGTGTCCCAGAATGCACGACTTTCCACTAAAGTGGATAAAATTCTGACTAAAAAGTTCTTCTTCCACTTTTAACGAAATTAGTGGAAGAGGAAGTTTTGACTCAGAATTTCACACTCTCAGAGGAAAGTCGTGCGCTCTGGGATACACTGTATAGAAACTCTGATGTTTAACTCTCTACAACGTCACGTAACATAAAAGTTACACATTCGTGTATGTATATACGTCAACAATCAGTAGTTCCGTGCGTTGTTTCCTATCTTTTAAATTAAAAAGAAATAACAACGACTATCATGAACAAAAAAGGCTACAGTTATAATAAACCCTATCAATATGGCACCCCTTTAATTTCCCGTTCGTGCGTACACGATCCGTAGAAGAATACGAAACAAGATTCTTTTGTCCAGTTGGATCGTGCATTAAGTGCGTGTCTCTTTATATTTGTACGAAATGAACTAACAGCGGAACGAATGTGATTTAGCGTGGACTTGTTTACAGGCACTGTGCTTTTAGGCTAGCGGGCCGAGACGGATTCCTGTGTCGGACTGCGATACTTGGCGCGAATTGGAAGAAAGTTGCTGTGCTTGTTGCCGTGGGGTGAAGGCGGTGTGCTCTCACGGTTGAGGGTCCTCACCTGACAGGGATCGTGCCTCGCCAAGAAATGCTCCAAGGTGTCCCAGCCCCCGCCCACTCTGACCATCATATGTCTCCCCTTCAAAAGCTGTGAACACGTCGGATGCACCGTGGTCATTAGCAACCGGCAGTACGCTTTTTATTCCTTCTATATGCGACAGGTTAAAAATGTAAGCAAGTTTGCTTTGGTTCAAGCAGATCGTCGCTAATCACTATCTGTCTCGATGTTTTATACTTTACGTTGAGTCATTCTAACTCTTAGGTCATTCATAACAAGTAACGAATGAGAATGAAAACAGATATGATAATGTTTTGGAGTAGAATGTAGTAGGGAGTATCAATAAGAATATAATATGTGTGTACCCTGATGAAGACATTTCGTCCAGCGATATGGTACCGTCCTTCACCAACCTTGCGCACTTTCAGCTTGGAACATCTTTCGGAGGGACATTGGCAGAGTCTCTGTACTGCTTCCGTGGCTCTCCTTACCTAAAATCGACAAACAAGCCATGTATCACATAAAAGTTGTTCACGAAATCGTATTTTTATTGCACACAAGCGCATAGACAAACGAAGGGTGATAGTCGCCACGTTGCGTTAGTGAGATAAATCGGGCTAAACGTGTCGCTGAGAAAACCGATATTGAAGAGTCCTCGGAACATCCGCCCGGCGGCATGCAGGAATCCAACACGCGATTCGCGAGCGTGCAAACGCATACGTGAAAAAGCTTAAAGCGACTCGTTCGCTTCTATTGTTCCTTTCTTCCCCCTTCCTCGTGTGCTGTCACTCATGGACGAACGTGATACGATGCGACACACGCGTGTATACGAGCAAATTACACGCTCGTGGCCAATGTTACTTGCAGTTCTTACGTACGAATTAAATTCTTCAGGAGACTCAAAGTGGCAATTTGAAGCTTTGACTGCCAAACACTTACTATATAATTATACGTATTGTGAAGTGAACAAAATAAGGACGAGAAAGAAGGTATTCGAATGCACTACGTATTCGGCGAACAATAGGGAACTTCAAAATTTCATACTTAATTTACGACTAGAAAGTTTTAGAATCCTTACGCAGTTTCAATTTTCCATTCCTACGATTTAGAGTTGTGAATAATTGTTAGTCGAGAAGTTAATATAAGAATGGTGGATAATGTAATACGAATTGTGTATGCATGAATAAAATTGTGAAATTGACGGTGAATTGCGGTTGACATTTATTTGTGAACTTTAAACACCTTACCTTTCGATCTAATTCCGTTATAGGACCTGTATGTTCCGGTGGCTCAGCTGGCGAGGGCAGAGGTGAACTTAATGGCGACGGAACTTCGTCCGGGTCCTCCACACTTCCTCGGGACCACTCATCCTCCGTTGTATCACTAGGCACACCGTCACTACCCGGCGCTGGCCCATTGTCGCTCACCGACCTTCTCATTTCCGGTTCGTGCACTACATCGGTGGCTGGATCCAACCATCTTGTCGCTGTTAACGCAACTTCCGATGCTGAACTGCAAAGTATTGTCACATTTTAATTATAAAAAATAGAAGTGCCTTGTTACAAAAATTTCAGTCCAGAAAAATAAATACCGAATGTAATTTTTTATACAACACGACAAAAAGTGTAATTGTATATCGTTCCTTTCACTTCTAAACTCTTACTATTATAGAATGTAGCACAAAGTTTCTCAATCAAGACAGTAGTAGTTAACAAAATTGCCTTTATCACAATTCAACCGTATTTGCGATTTCACTTGTACTGCAAAGTTTGTACGCTAGGAAACACTCGCCACTCCTACGATATTGCGTTACACTTGAAGTAAATGCGCGCTGCCTTTTCCAGAACATAACTCCTCGCAAGTTCTCTCACTCCGTAGCTGAATCCTTTTTAACACACTTCACATAGTACGTCGTCCTTCTAGTTTCGCGTTCAATTATTTTGTCCGGACACTTTCAAATCAATTTGAAAACCCAACGAACCGAAGAACAATTTCTGCTACACGTTAACGCACTCAAACATAAAAAATGGTAGCAACACGTACCTGCTGTGTTTTATCTTCTCTGCAGGAGGCTTAGGTGTTTCGGTCGGGGACGGTGATTGAAATTGCCAGGAAATCAAGCTGCTATGAGATATACCACTGTCCGAGAGACAGTGAAGATCCCGTTCTTGTTCGGCGGCAATTTCCCTCTCGAGCTGCACGAGTCCCGGTGGCTCAACAGAGTATCTCGACGCTAATCGAGACACTTCCAATAGGCACAATACCACGTTCCGCGGTTGTCCGTGAAGAACTGTAAAATTCGGGACATCACACACAATCGACGTCACACTGGAATATTATAAGGATTCCTCCAGGGAGGGACCGCACACCTACTTAAAAATGCGCCTAACTTTCTATAAAATTTTCCTACACATTGTAAACTATGCTTTCTTATTTTAAATGGATGTATTTATAAAAATGTTTTAATGATATTCTTTACAAAAAATAAAATCGCAAAAAAAAAATACGGATGGATATCATTAATTTACGCTTTCAATCTTTGCTTCAATACAAAACATGATTCGATTTCTACAAGCAACTATTCTATTTACATGAGTCGGTGAACCATTTTTACGCAACCTCGAAGCTCCTCCGCTTCCGTGGTTACGTCATTCGCGCGGGCACGAGAGCACGAATTGTTCTCGCGGCATTCAAACCCGGTCAAGCGCGCGAGAGAAAAGCGGCTCGTTTTCGTAGTTTCCGCTGCGAGACGCGGTTAATTCGCGGCGATTACTCTCGCCTCGCGGTCGCTTTGAATTTGCATAGCTGCACGCAGCTGGCTACGGGATGTAATTGACGGGATTTCGCTTATAATCGGCTCAGATATGCTCGAGATAAAACCGTGACGAGTAAAACGCGCGTAACACCTTAACGACTAGGCGCGCCAATTACCGTTCTATAATAAGAGCGCGATAAATACTGGCAAAAAGCTAATAAAAGGGACGAATTAGAAGAGATTAAGATTGATTGGGTAGAAAGATTTCTTACCGAGATCGTCGCTTTCGAACAGGAGATTTTCGTGTACGCCCAGGCGCCTACAGAATTGGATAAAGTTTTCCATATTGTCCCGAGAAAAGAAGCTGCGACGAGCTGCGGTCTCCCAACAGCGTCCTCGTATCACCGGCAAGGGCTGAAACAGAATTATACAAAACCATTAATTGCAAAAACCTCACACATTCATTATATTATAGATGCAAGATACAAAAGTTAGAAATCCTTAAGGAATTCAATTTAGAGATTACTCACTCCTTTCGCTCTTCCAGCATCGATCGCCATCCTCGCTTTCTCCTGAATAACCCTTGCCAATCGACACACCACCACGCCATTGTCCAGCGCATCAAAGAAACTATCGCCCGTCACTACTTCAGAGTCTAAAACACAAAAATATTTGAAAATAATTTTTTGTCCACATATGGGTCTGTCCATTCTATCAGTAAAATACATCGCCGTAGTGGAAAGCTTAAGGCATAGGGGAAAAGCATGTAAAAGTTAGGCCTCAGATAAATGTGAGCGTAGACGAGAAGTGTGGATCAGCCGCACGCTGTGCAGTTTCGAGTAGCTTAAGTGGCTGGTAGACCTTTTTTAGCGTAGCTCACGATGTTTCTAAATCACGTACAAAATGGCGTGGAAACTACGAAATTGGTAACAAAAAAAAGTCTAACGACTACTCGAAATTGCACAGCGGGCGATTGATCCATACTGCTCGTCTACGTCGTCTATCCTCGCACTTGTCTGGACAACATACCGTCGGGGCCCTCTCAAGCCTCTTTTTACATGTTTTTCTATATACCTTAAATTTCCTACTACAGCACTCGTATTGCGTCGAAAACGCCTCTCGATAACAGATTTTCACCACGCGGCGAAAATTTTTCGGCGTCGCGACGGCCATTACGATCAGTCTGAATAGACCAGTATGTGAACAAATGGTCACTTGAAAGCGATCAAGAGCATCGGTGAAGTGGCGTCATTGTTAGGAACCGTCTCCTTAGATCCCTTCGACGTAAGTCTGATTTAGGGTTGACTCTTGCTTTGTCACGGAATTTTGTCGCTTGCAGGTTCTCAAGATTTTTCAGATGTCGAGAAAAATTTAATTACACATTATAGCTTCGATATAAATATGGACATTCCATACGAGATCTTCGAAACATCATCATAGATCAATGAACCGTAAAACCAAAAATAATGAGGAACGATTCGATGAGGTAGTGTGGATTTGTTTCTCGGAACCGCTCCTTTGCGAAAGATCTCACTTTATTTGACATGATCCGCGAATAGTTGAATGGTAGAAACTCGAGGGAAGGTATGCTCGGTCAAGCGCGAAATGATTTCGTCGAGACGCTCTCACATTACTACAATCCATGCATGACTGCACGAAATTATTTAAATTTCGTTCGCCGGGTACCACGTGGTGTAATGCAGCGTTGCAAACAGGATCAAGGACGGGATTTTTCGAACATTTGCATCTCAGTAGCGATCTTATGAATACATACATACACGATACGCAGACGATGCAAGTACGTATGGAAACGCGGAGAAGAGAGACACACAACCGGCTATCGTTCTCCCACGATGCTGGATAGATCGACGCCCGAGAATCTAAGGAAAACTCAAACAACTGGCTGCGACACGATTTGTGCCACGTACCTATATAGATATAGTCGGGATACGATGGGAAATAGGAACTAGGTTGGGCTGACGGAGCGATAAAGCCTCGTAGATACGGATGGTAATGAGAACCAGCGCCGTGGCTCGTGACTCGACCCGGTAACAATAGGGTTGCACCCGGGGCAGAACCAAGAAAAAAAACTGTTAACGGGCAAGCTTATGGAGTAAAGTCCATCACACGTTCTTCGGCGAACCACACACGTGTGTTCTTTTCGTGACCATGTGTATGTGCACACACAGTTGTGTGTACAAACGACGGATCTGGTTCGCGAATATCGCTCGTATATGGCCTGGAGACACAATGGCAAACGAAACGAACCGGCGTGCTCGTGATAACGACTGCCACTCTTGTAGGATGCCTAACTCTCGCTCGATCTTGCGAAAGATCACGGGCGTGAGCGTATTTAAGTGCGAACCGGGCGACGTCTAAAAACTCGGTCACCCGGAACCTAGACTATGGCTACATATCGCTTTAATTTATATTTGACATTACCAATAATGAGAAGCTCCGGAGAAAGGTTCGAGTATCGAGAGCAAAGTTCGACATATTAACAATTGAATATAGAATTTTTGTATGAACGTTTTAATACAATGGTACGTAGACATTTTTAAGTCAGTACTATTCGACGAACATAACTGAGGGTATCACTTGCACATAAATCATAAGATCAAGGGGGTTAATAATGAATCGATATTCCCACAGCGACCCGTATTTTCTACATATCCTTGATATGCTACCCTTCGATTTAAACTTCGTTTGACCTCTTTAGCTGCAACTCGAGCCTTTTTCAGTACGTATATCCTGTCGATGTCGTCCTTGGCATTGTTCGATCAATGCATTAATTCGAACACGATGCATTACTGCAATAACCAGTTACCATAAAACACGCCGCGTCACGACAGCTTTTATTTCATCACTGCTGGACCCCACACAGCCTGCCCTCGGACCGAAGGAAATGCAGAGAGCGGAGCAAAAATCGATGCAAAAAAGGGTTATACGATCACATTTTTTTACATGGTATTTTTCTATACTTGTATATCCAGTGATGTGCAATCTGCTTTCGCGATTCACTATTTTTCAAATAGTCTACATGCATTCTCTGACATACACAAAATACATTCATCAAGTTTGCCTCTTCCTTTTCTCCGTTGAAACTCCCTTTCATTCAACGTCTTCAAACCATTTCGCGCTTAATTCAAGCATTGTCATTCCGGGATTCTAAGGTCGTAGGTCTAGTTGTTACGATTCACGGCCCGCTAATAGTTCGTGGCCCGTGCCAAACAGCAGACTTATTCGCGAACACAGCATTTACATACATAGATATCCACGATGTTCCGAACCTTCGCACACGCGCAAACGTGTATAGATACGCCCATTATGCGTAATGCGCCTTCAGGTAGTCACCGATGCGATGCAGGGAGAGAAGTGGCACGAAGGAAGAGGGGTGCCTGGCCGACTTCCGGTTGAGTCAGACGGCTCGCTGCAACTGCCGCAGACACAGGGTGTGGGTCGAAAGGTCCCGTCCTTTCGCATCATTCTAATAATCGCGGTATACGCAGAAAATTTGGCGATTCCACGCCTCGTAGAAGACTCGGCGCGTGGGCCGAATACTCGTGAAGTTTTTGCGAGGATTTTAATGAACCTCCGATGATTCACTGACACGTGTTAAACAGTAGATGATTGAATGTTGGTATCTTCGGCCCGGGAAATCGTGTGGGATAGATAGTGTGTTCATTGTTTCGAGGACGTCTTGTTTCGAGTTACTAATAGTATGATAATATGTTTTTTTAAGTTCTAATGAGTTGATGATACTTTATTCATTTTTACGAATTTAGTTTAGCAGCAGATATATGTATGTATAATTTAGATTAGTGATTGGTATATTCTGTTAGGTAAATTAAATTCGTTCATAGCTCGTAATAGAAAATACGAATCTTCCTCTACTGCTACGCGTCAAACAACATCGTCAATCTTTCATGTCTCACGACGTATCCTTGAAGGACCAAATAGAGAATCATTTTCAAGATTTAGATATTCGGAATTTACTTGAACAAATCACTATACTGAATTCCACTGCGTCGACTGAATACTGAATCCAACTATAAATAGAATATAGCATATTTTATACGGAATATTCATCATATTTCTGCGGAATTGATTATTCTTTTTTCGGTGATTACAGACGAAGTACAATTTTGAAAATACAAACAAAATTGCAAACATCGCTAAAGCCGAATTATAATCGAAACCGCGTTCGTTTATTTTCCGCGAGAAACGCTAATTGGAACGACGTCGATGTTCGTGGACACTTTCGTAATAATTCAGTTCAAATACCAAAATCACCGGGTCCGCGGTTATTTTTCTCCGTTGCAACCCCGCGTGTCGCTCACCCTCGCGCATTAAATTCCCCCTCGATTGAATACAGACAAGAGAGCTGACCGTCATGCTGCATTTCGAGCGAGGTCTCCTCCTCCGTTTGCCCGCCGCGGCGTGGGTGTGTGTTTGCACGCTTCAATCAGTTCAATCGTGTACGTACGTGTACCACGCCGCAACGAGAATAGTATGCAACTATACGGCAGGCAGAGGTACCCACACACGGTTCTAAAGGCTGCCGACCTATCTGGACGACCGTAGCTTTAAAACTCCGACCTGAGAGGCAGAGCAATGTGATATGTACTGTGACACGATATAAATAGCCATAGTTAAAAAGCCATCTCATCGAACGTTCATATAGACGACTATGGAATTATGCAGTATGTATGGAAGCATTCTTTTCTTAAAATATTGAAATCAAATTCTTGCCAACATGTGTGGCACAGTTTGTAAATAATTTGTAATCGCAGTCAGAGAGAACACTACGAGTTATTTCGCGTACTACATAGTCGTTTTTCTGTGAAAGACCACTCGTGTCGTAATCCTACATGGTGGTCCAGATCTTGCGGCTCAATTCTTCGAGGTCGCATGAAACCCGAATACATGGCAAACAAGTTACAAACGTTCGGATACAACACTTGGCTTGACATCAATAAAAACAACACCGATTGTCGAATTAAGAATTGAGTCGCGACTTATTCTATCTCTAGTCGATTCCTTTAGGAGGATCTACCTGTATTACTTTAACGCAAGCGAGCGAAGAAACTCAAAATGAATAATCATCTTAAATAAAGCTTGATTAAAAATAAAGTCAATTTGAAACAATAAAACATAAAAATATAAGGGATGAGAAATATAAATTTACGTTATTTACTTGAAAGAACAGTATGACTTCAGAATACTTTACGCTACGTACGATACATTGGTTCTATTTTGCGCGTCGACTCGTATTGGCACCGTATTAGGAAAGTAGTAACTCGGAAAGGCAGTCATACCAGTATCCAAGATTGAAGACTGTCAACTTATAAGAGAAGAGGAATATCTACTACCAAGACGAGAATTGTGCTTTTCATTAATTTCTTCATTTTGGAACTTGAATATTAAATTCAACGAGTAAACATGACAGAGTTTCGGGAGTCTTAAATTGTAAAAGAAGCAATAAAGAAATTGACAGTTCGAAATGAGAAGTAGGTAAAACTACTGACGATCGAAGATTTATGTCAGTTGAACTCGGTCTTGCTTTGTCGAGCGGAACTAGAAAAAAAATTGAAGGTTCTTTTCCAGCGGTAGTTAGCTGTTCCTCGATTCTGAGAACGGGCGTTTCCTAATCTTCGCAAGTAAGTTAACGGAGGAAACTTTCGCCTAATTTGAAATTCGTCATGTTATCGCGGTACTGATCTCACGAACTGTTCGTCGATAGTTAATTCATGCGGTAGTTAGGTATATCAAACCAGACGGAGACTCCATCGATTCTGCGATTTTCTGAGCATTTTAAGTTATTATTGTTGAGAATAATTCTCTATTGGATGTAATAAATATACAGTAAATTGATATGATATCAATTATCAATTCTTATATCATTCGAATGCTCAAGGATTTTAATGAACATAACATATGCGAATTTATATTTTTCTAAAAGATTCTCATTTTTCTTAGACAAATGATTCTCCAATGAATCCATTACTATTAACTAATGCAGATTTGACAGACTCACAGAGCAGTAAATCGATATTCCGTTTTTTTAATTGAAATATATAAGCTTTAGGCCACAAAATATCTGAGCAATTATCTTCTCAAGAAACACGAGTGCTGCTTTTGCGCAGCGTTACGTTACGTTAGAACTACGATGAAACGAAGGACCAAATGTTACGAATATCCTTCTGCACGTCGCGCCAGATGCCTTAAGAACCTTTCGTGCGTGAACCATGTGTGCAAGTAGGTACATATGTGTACACACAATATACGCATGCCAAGTCCTATGGTGCTGTATCCCTTTAAGGCAAACCTACATCGTGAAGGAGACACGCTCACTATTCGCGAAAAAAAAAAGGCAACCGAGTGCATGCGCGGAACTTCAACCTTTGATACATCATGCTCGTTACACTTCGTAACTTCATTAGAAAAAATGTGGAAGTAAAAATTAATTCGTCAGCAAGAAAACAGCTTAGTTGTTAACATATACGTGACATTAAAAGATTTGAAAATAGATTTACAGTTAACAAGAAAAGGAATGAAGTTAATTTAAAAAACAATTTATCCGAAACACAATTAATTCTATTTTATCGTATTGCATCTATATCTTATACATATTAAAGTAACTAACCCTTCTATCCATATACCATTCATCCATAACGCTACCTTCTGATTCTATATTTCTTCACAAATAGCAGAATGCCATGTCACAAACATATTACGTTATTATGATCGTTGCACGATATCTGCCAGTTACCAATGAGCAGACGAGCTTAAACTCATAAAAGCCCCTTACCGTTGCCTTACTTCCACCCCTGTAATGCTCCTGGTACAAAATCAGACAGCTACTCACTCAACGTTTTATTGATCCAATCGGCGAGGTCCTCCTGCAGCGGCAGCAACTGTCTGCTCTGGGCCGAGTGCAGACGCTCGTGATAAAATTCGGCGTACTCTTCCTCTTCCGGCGAGGGTCTAGGCACGTCGGCGCGATTGAACACAGTGACTGAGGATGGTCCCCAGCTGCTCCGATAACGCGTGTGCTGCGAAGACGGGAATCGATTGGCGTACGACATCCTGAGGCAGAAAGGGCCGAGGAGCGTCCCGATGGCCTGCACCGGAGGACCCCCTTTTCACGCTTTTCCAGACCCTTTGATTTCCCTTCTTTTTCTCCTCCAGCCGCAGCTTCCCTTTTAATTCCACGCCGATTCTCTTCTCGATTACTGAAAAGGCCCGAGGAGGTCGGCCGGTGCGGCACGTTTGTCGATTACGCGAGCCTGAAAGACAAAAACCGTCTCTGGTGACTCTGGTCTTATCGTGCCCCTTAATGTGGCTACTCTCGCTTAATCGCACCGATCCGCTCGCGATCGACACAATCCCTCCTTGACCAAACGAGGCAAGATAGAGTATATTAGTAGATTGTCACACAAAACTTTGCATATACGAAATTTTGCATATAGTACATATGTATGCTTTGAATTTGGCTTTTTTGCTAAACATTTTTATTTTGTTGTACACGTGAATTAAATTACAATAAAACATTTTGTTCCGTGATATATGATGAAACATGGGATACAAGTGTGGGATGCAATTAAACTTTTATGTGATATTATACGTACTGCGGTTGGTTGGATCAAAATGATATGGGACGATGCCGGAAGATGCGAGCCCGCACCATAAACGAGAGAGGAGATGAAGAGGCCACTGCCGACCGAAAGACGTTCTACGCGATGACTGACAGCGCAGGGAAACAAGCCTCGAGAGTGCGTTTTCGGGAATGAATAGGTTTTATGTTACACGGCGCTGTTTATGGGATCCAGGCCGACAATGTTTCATAATAACCTTGAGAGGGATGAGACTGCAGCTTCTCAACTTAAGAGCGTTGGATGCTCTAGGTTCGTTAGATGGTATTTGGTACGATACCGTTCGATGATGCTGCATGTTCAGGCACACAGCACGTGTGCATTCTATTTATTTATTTTTTAAATTTGATTTGATAGTATATTTCTTAAAAAATTGATGTATTTACGTGTTAGATGAAAATGGTTGTCTAACATTAGATCGGTTTATCTTATAATGTCGAGAACTTTGACGATGATTATCAGCGAGTTTAAAAGATGACACCACGATATGACTTTAACTCTCTTAAATATGTATTTAGCCGTGAAGGCGATACAAAAATAGTTGCTCGTCACCGATGGTTCGCGATCGGAAGAATCGTCGTAAATTTTCATAATGCTTGCACACGCCGCGCAATGTCTACAAACGCCTCTGTATTTAAACGACATTCGACGCAGCCATTAGCATTCATCGACAGCCCTCGGGAACGGTAAACGACTCACGATTTTGCTGAATCCATTGCTAGACTCGGAACGATCGATCGGAGGAAATGAAAGACATAGGAGAAAAGTTGGAAAAAAGGAAAATTATATCTTCCATAAATCCCTCCAACCACGCTTTGTCGTGGAGAACGCTATCGCCTTCGGGTGACACAAATTCATCAGCGAACGCGATCTGATGCAAGTAAGTACGTAATGTAACAGCGCAGTGGTACGGATCGATGAAATGAAAATCCGGATCACAGTCTCGTGTTCGACGAGCAAACCTACGTGCGTCCTTCGAGATCAATCTATTAAACTGCTGCCACTGATTCTGCGTGCAAAATACGTAATGCAATCTGTTGTAAACAGATAACCATTGAACCGCATCTCATATTTTCCTTATTGTTTTTTTTTAATTTCTTTTCCGTGGAAACGTGATTTATCGACGCAATTGAGGACGGATGTTATTTCCTACAAGAATACAAATTTCAAACAATCTCGTTAAAGGATATTACGCATTTTAATAATTAAATCAATAGAGACAAGCATAGATTAAATTTAAGTAGGTATGCAATTTATAATTGGGGGATTAACAGTTTGCTGACAGAAGTAATCGCAACATCGAATTGTACTTTACGTCGGTTGTAAATCGTAGATTACCCAATTTGGGTGAGCTTGATAAATCGATAATAAGACATCAATTGTCAATTACTCGAATACTTAATTAAAAAATGTTTTAAAATTAAAATATCCGAAATAACAACCAGATGATTGATGTCATACTTCACGTACAAGCGGAAAGGAACATTCTTGAATAGTTATTTTTCTTCATGGTTAATAGTGGCATGTGGGCGAGGAGTATCACCTCGAGCTGCGTAATTGAGTTCTCCGTAAATCAAGTAGCCGGTGATCGATTAAATCTGCGACAGCTGACCAATTAATAGCGTTTTCGCGTTATCGTAACAAATGGAGCAGAGAAGCGAGCATGTCGGCACCAAGGTAAAACGCCGATGCAACCGAAGCGAACCGAGATAACGAGTTTGCTCTGTTTGCCTTCGAACAGGTAAGTATGTCTCAACTACACAGACTTCCGTCCCATTAGGTACCGGTTTTGTACCTTCAGGAAATTATTAATGTACTTAAGAGAAATTGGAAATCGGAAATCCGTCCTTTTGCATTTTATAACTGGGACAAGCGTGACGCAAATACGTATGAATGAAAGCCAAACGATTAAGTGGTCTGTTAAAAAATATTGTAAAAACTATGAAACGCTCTCTACGTTCGTCCAACCTTTTCTACTGCCTCGAGTGACTTCAATGCTTCAAACATCATACCCACGGTTTCTTCGAAGCAATACAATTCACCATCTCTTTCACGTTCTTCGATTGCCGTGAGACAAGAGCTCAATTTCATACAGGATCACAATATCCGTGATATAATTCTGTGGCACCCACGTTACACGGAGACACCCGTAAAGGAAAAACCATAAAACTGATCTAAGGTCCACGAAACGTTTTGATTGCCCGGTGCTATTCGTTTCCACGACATGGTTGATCAATTTAAATGCGGCATACGTGATCCTCGCCCACAGAATAACACAAGCTGCCCGATTCGCAGCAACGTGTATTTATTTACGATCTCCGATAATCGCGGTTTTCAAGTTGAGCCAATTGAACAGCGTCGCGAACGCGGCACCCACGCGACTGCTAAATTATGCCGATTTTAATTAAGCCTCCGGGCGCGAATGATGACGTCGCGTCGTGTGAAACCGCGGTGAATTGGAAACTCGGGCCTGCCGCGCCTAGGTATTTCTAAAACGGATGTAAACACCACATCACCACATCGAAAGGGAAGATTGTGCTAATCGAGCGTTTCTTAAGCCCAATCGTATGAGAAAAACAATTTTATAGCGTCATGTGTTCTTTTTAATCCTCGCCTTGCAAATTCCATAAAACTTATTAAGGTATCAGTTAAAACAGTGCTCTCGAATGCTGTATTGTGAGTCAAGTTCGTTTGACGGAATAGAATGCGAACTACAGTCGCTTACAAGCAAAGTAGAAAAATTGCAGCGCGAGACTTACTCATGAGAAATGAGAAACTAGACCGAATTCGTTTTACTCTCTCTCTCTCTCTCTACTTTCTTATCTTACACAGACATTTGATATCGTGATCAGAAAATACTATTTCGATTCGTCGGCAAATTAACAGGAATCGCGCTATAGAAATATTATATTTGCTTGCTTTGCGCTGCGTAACCAAAATTGATGTATATACGTACACTACAATGAAAGTCCCCCATATATGGATGAGGTCATTATTAAACAAATTCTGATATAATATTACAGTTTTAGCACCCGGCTCTGCGCAAACCTGCTCGTTATTCAATCAAGAAAACCGCATCAAAGTCCTTGCACACGGAGAGCAACGACCGGTTAACAATCGTATTCGCGGCTTGGATAATCGCTGAATTGGATCGTGGATCGGTCGTTGGGCTTCCCGGACGCTTCCCAGAAAACTCGGCTGCTCATTCAACCGGCGAAAATGCACGGTATCTTATACAATACTTACACGTATGATAGTATGCACCGACAGACTCATCCACGTCGCGTCATGCAGACGACCGACCGTTGTGCGCCGGTGTGACCGTCTGGTTTGTAGTATTATGCGTGGGCGATCAGTCGCTGTATCGTACCACGTGTGTAGCACACTGACACTGCTAGACAATTCTGCGCCATTTAACTCCCCGCCGGCGTGGCGGGAGTGTTCTTCATCGTCACGTAAACGGATACGACGTCTGCTCGCGATTCATACTACATATATCACAGGTGTTAACTTTCTGGGAATCTGATAAAATAATACGGAAGTTGCCAAATGTCAACCGATTCTTATATTGGAACGCCATGTATATTGTGAGATAGGAAAAACTATAAAAGTGTTCAAAATCGTCGTTCGAAGTACGCAATTTTAATACTTTTTCGGTCAGTCACGAGATTCGCTTTACGTACGACTGAGAATTATGTATGTATTAGTAATGATAGCATGTGGAAAATTGAAACAAGAACGAATTAAATGTTAATGATTATATGAATGTGAATTCATTTTAAGTTGAGCACTACTGCTGTTTATGAACGTCCTCAAGAATCTCAGATGATTAACCAAATATTCTAACTTAACTATTAATTTTGCACAAGTTTACCATAAGCAGAAAAGAGTAGGATCAAGATAGGGTGCACTTGGTTTGATATTTACATTCGCGTGGCTTGTCGCCTGATCGCGTAATTCTCCGACATATGGGTGGCGGATTACGTGGGAAGATACTGTCGTCGACTGATCCGTAAAAGGTACCGACAAAGTCGCGTGTCCAGGGTTCCTGGATGAAACATGATGAAAGCGATACGGCCAGATCCGCCGGAAGCACGCTGCTTCGTCTTCTGTTGTTCTCTGTCCAGAAAATTTGCGACCAAGTCAGGAGATAGTTTGCGGATTGTGAGAATTCAGAGCAGAATAAAAGTAATGTATTCTATATAAGCACATGTGCTATGTACAAATGGCTCAACAGATTCCGAACTTGCTTCGCATACAAACATAAGAAATGTTACACGTTCTCTCTTTCTCTCTCTCTCTCTCTATCTCTAATGCTCTCCATGTGGAGCTACATTGGTATTTTCTGTGTGCGTACGAAATGGGTCCGGAATTCTTTCAGTCACCCGTACGTGGTTACGGAACGAACTTACTGTTGAAAGTGTTGAAACACAGTTCAGATTTGCAACTGTGACCTAAAGTATTGTGTTTAGAATTGATCAACTAGACAATTAGAGAAGCTTATTGGGGGTGGTCAACGGTCTGTGACATAAGCAGAGCAGAAGTATCTTAAAACGAAGTTTACTAGTTACACAGTTAGAATATCCTTATTTTCTTCCATCCCTTTTGGACTTCAACATCGAAGTACATTAAGTACACATTTCTCGACATGAAGTCTTTATCTTCGTATTATCGTGAAATTAAAAAGAAATTAACTTTATATTCTTATTGCGGTTCGTCGAAATTATTATTTACAATTTTGTATAAAAATTAATGTGCTACTGTTACGATTATGGTTATTAAATATTTAATACATATACGTTCCTCAAAGTTTCCGTCGGCAGAAATAAAACCTTTGGCAAAATTCGCACCATTGTCTGTTTCATACTTCCTCATTAGGAAAAGCCACACTTTTTAAGAATTAGACGCTCATTCTAATTAAGGGTTTTCCTTCTGCAGGAGGGTGGTGAAAAGATGCTTTTGAAATTAGCACGATGAACGTTGAATGCAACGGGCGAACTGGACCGCGTCAGCGAAACATTTCCTCACTGAAAATGCGACTTCGTGCGAACTTTCGTACAAGAAAATATTTGCAATTATACAGGCTTACGAACGATTCAAAGTGAATAAAAAATAATCTGTTTAAGACAACACAAGTAAACGTAGAATACGCATTTGAGAAATGGAGATGAACTAAAGTCATAAAGCATAACGTTAATTTAACGTCTGCTTATAAAAATCTTCTTTTCCATCATTTAAGTGTTTCATAAGCAGTTAAATCCATAAATGGGAGATTTGATGAGTCTGAGATTTATTAAGAAGCTACTAACCTACATTTTATAATTTTCAATTAATTAAACTCGGAAATATGTGATTCTTCTAAGCAATTATATTCCTGTTTCTACAATCATTACTTATTACCCTTCTTATGGTATTATTGATATATTGGATGCACTTTTGCACGATTATATTGAATGCGATTTGACCGGACGATGAAATTAATTCATCGGGCGGTCGGCATCGGTTTCCGATCGAGTTCGATTTCAAGAGCATAGAAAGCCGAGCACCCGCGTCGATGATGCTCCAGAACACGTACGCGGTGCACTTTTTATTTCAATGTCAGTCAATGAGAAAAGAGATCGAAGGAATCCATGCGGGTAGGTACAAGCGCCGCGGCCGCGGGCCTAATTAAATCGCATAAACAGAGCGTGCCTGTCCAATTACCGTTCCTCGACGGCCATACGTTTTCTGCGTGGTTTGAGGACCACGTATCTTCTTCAGTGTTTCACGTGCGGAAGTATTGGATGAAAAATGAAGGGAAAATGAGGATACACTCTTTGCCAGGCATAAGCTAATAAAGCAACATGGTCAAGCCCTTTGATACCCGTCTGTTAACGACCTCGACAAAGGCCAAAGAAAATATAGATGGTAGAAAATTATGGTTTGTAACAACGTGAGCGGCTAGTCGATTAAAGCCTTTTAACTCATTCGATCGTAAATACTTTCATCATTGTCTTGTTGATAGAACGCCATATAATGTTCTGAAACACGTTCTCGATGGCGATAATTATTTACTACTTTATAAATACCTATACTTATTGAAAAGGAAAAATGATACAAGTTTTTAATTTGCATAATTTCACAGAAGTTAATCTGTTTCGGGAAGAAGCGTTTTATTTACATTGTTAATTAAAAATCTACTACATTTTGCAATGGACAATAAATAAATTGATATTCCACTTAACTAGTATTTATATAGGCGCTAGTTATGACTGAAAGAGACCCGACAAAAAGTAATTCTAAAACGCGGTAATGCTCCGTTAGCGGTAATAAGATTGAAGTAATAAGTAACAGTTTTGGAGCGTGACCGTCGTAAACGTGTGTAGGCGTATACGTGTGATGCGCTAAACATGTTCCACTAATCGGGAAGCTAGCGCACGAAGAATTCTTAAGATTTTCGAATTCTCGATCCTCTTACAATTTAAAATAATTTCAAAAAAACTTGTGTTTAGGTTTCAGACTATCGACGATGAACATGTAATTGAAATGAATCATCCTAAGTCACAATTGTATGCATAACCAATGCAACTTGAGAATGAATGGCTTTCGAAAGATACAGAGAGAAAGAAAGAGAGAAGAGAGAGAAAGGTAACTAACGAGATGAATCGACAAAAATTTTCGAAACATTGTCACTACAACTCACCATGTTCTTCATCATCCATATTGTTATATTAGTGATCCGTATATTTTAAAAACATTGCAAATTATAACAGAGAAAGTTGTATGGAGACTCTAAAGTTTTTTTTATACAATAAAAGATAAAGATACGACCCCGTTTATCAAGTTTAATACCTATTATTAAATAAATGGCAGTGAGAATAATCTTCATCCACCTGGTAATTTTGCACCAGTTCTTAACTTTATTACTCGCCGTTCACATTTGGGTCATTAAACCGTGTAAATCCTGCAACTTATCATTAAACCTAATAGATCTGACAATTATGTAAGTATCTCGTACCTCAATATTTCCATACTTCTTAAGCTTCGATTAACACTACGCAATTATTTTATCATTAAGCAATTTACTTCGATTAGTTGCCACTGTGCAACTCCTGCACCTGCTTCACGTCTTTATACTTCAACCGCATTTTTTCAACATACACATTACGTAAAAAGATTTATTGATAGCGATTGTTGAATCTGAGTAACAATTAAAGATCGCCGAACGTTTTTCCCAACTATTTGTTAGAGGCGAGCGTGAAACGTGTTTAAGACAACCTCAGTTACAGAATAAGATGAAGTTTGTGCACTTGTTACACCGCGTGCTCGCCTATGGCACGTAATGAGGCTCGCGGAGGCAGGCCGTTGTCCGACGCCTTAGAAATTCTTTAATGACTTTATGTCACACCGTGCACACAAGAAAACACCGTTTAAAAGCTGTGTTTCGGCGCCGCGACAAAACGCGTAATCCTCGAAAATAAATGACCGATATACCAAATATTTGTATCCTGAACATCAATAATGCGAGACTAAAAATGAATGTCACTCCCGAATTATATTGATCCCGTATACGTAAGTATATCGATCCAGTTTAACTACCTGATATTATTAAAAATATCACACGCAGACGAATATAAACGTAAGAAGCAAAAGTTGATAAATTTTTGCTCTATTATGCTTTAAAGTCTAAATATAATATTTAACAATCTTGTGACTGTCAGATCGTAGAAAGAACGATAATAAGCAGCAAGAGAATGACAATTAGTATCAATCAATGCGTGTTCTCCAATGAAGAGGGGTAAACACTTGTCGACAATGAGTGCTAATAAAGTATGTGCGAGGCTTCAACTTAAATAATGGATAGGCACGTGGGGACGAGATTACAGTTTCTGTTCTCGTACGACCACCGTCAGACGTACATAAGTAAATACAAAATAGTAGAAGTTACATAAACTACCAGAAGCATAAATGACATTAATTACAAGTACTAGCGTTAATTAAAATTCACAAATGGACTGTGTGGGGTATCGTACTTCGTCCTCATTAATCCCTTTCAACTTCACTCAATTCGTCTCAATTGCACTTAATTCGCGTATAACATTTTATCGCTCAAATAAAGGATTGCCAATAAGTATAACTTTTACTCAACGATGTCACTTTATCGTTGCGCTAGATATTTAGTGTTGTCCGACTGTTGTTCGACTAATTGTTACTCGTAGCTCAGAAGCGAACTATCGATCGTGTCAAGACGGGAACCTCGTGGACCCCTTATTACATTTCGTCCATGTCGACTTATTCTTGGAGCAAGCGGTATGAAACATCAATTCAACGCCAACCATGATCAGACGACAGGAAGACGAAAGTAATGTAAGAACACGGTCAATAACAGCTCAATAACGTTCTCCAATTACCTCCTGGTTTCTCCCTATTCTTACGAGTCTTTCCCAGAAATAAGGGTAAACTGAAGTGATATTTCGATAACCATCGTTCGTATTAACGGGTCTAAATATTTAGGAAAGTACTTGGACGAATACAAACACGTATATATGATTTGGGAAAATATTTTCTTACCTGTCGGATCACCGTGAACATCGCTCGTATTTTGTTTTCTTTCTTGTGCCAAAATTTCAACCACGTTGTCGCACAGATTCACTGAGGATCAGTGTCAATGGGAATTGCGAAGGCACCTGACATTCCGAGCGGAACACACAACGAAAATGAAGAGAGACGCGTACCCGTCGATCATCCGATCGCGACTGCAGCCCTTCGGTGCCGGTGCCGGTGCCGGTGGCCAAGAGAAAGAGCGAGGGAGGGAAGCGGAGCGGCAGCGAGAAAGCGAGACGAACGAATGCGAAAAAAAGGGGAGCGAGAAAGAGAAGGTGTTATCGAGAAGAACGAGCCTCCCGCTATTTCTCCAAGCCGGCCACGCTCCAAACTCACGACGACCACCACTATTCTGTATACCTCGCGTACGTATCGGCGCAGCCTATGTGAGTACGTATACTGAGTATACTCAATGCCACGCAAGACGCGACTTCAATGGAGACCAGCTCCAGTTTCTCATGCTACGACTACAACTATAACTCGAATCGAGCAGGGCAAGGGATGTTCTCACGTAAATCTCGCAAGCAAGGTGCACTTGCGTGAAAGATTCCGCTACAAGGGACGATAACTTTTCTCCAGAGGATGTCTTTTGCTGTTGTTTCTTTTTGGTTTCTGCGGTCCTTACGACTCGATTCAACTTTCTTTTGTCCGTCAATCAGCAGCAGACGCCACGTGCAAACCGGCTCGGCAACCACGTACTGTAAATACACACAGAATTGTGCATGCGTGCGAAAGCGGCGACGAGGGACGCATGCGTGCGATCCCCGAGTGAGTACGTCGGCCAAACACCCCCTTTGGTCCGTGTCGGTGCTCTTCAACTCCTACCTCCCCCTCCACGTCATTCAGCCCCGCGCGCATTCACAGAGGAAATCCCCTCGACTACGAGGATCGCCTCCCGGCGAACCCCTTAATCAATACTCGCTGTTCTCTGCCGGCCAGGAGTACACTATCCTTCGGATCCTCCTCCCTGGACCAGCTTTTTGGCAACGTCATACACATTTAATAGTTGACGCGTGTCTTGTGCACGAAGAAATTTCATTTTTCGTGTCGTTTGACTTGTTCGCACATTCTCTCTTGAGAATTTGTCTGTTTCACTTAACGCGTGAGGATGAAAATATTGAAATCTGAATTCAATTATTTAGTGCAATGTTTTGCAGTGTTTTGCTTTAGTTATTTAAATTAAACTGTACATACGAAGTGCCCATGTTAGAATTGAAAGAACAGATCAATACGTAAAACTAGATTTCAGCAACACAGGACTATGAAATTCTTGAAATCTGAAACGATGAAAATATTCCCAACTAAATTTTATAAGTGTTTCATGATTAATCAATTAACATTTACAACCCGAATGGCATCAATAAAACCAATGCCACAGGAGACGTGTAGAACAATTACAATTAAAGAGAAACGCAATGTGGATCGAGAGGGTGTGATTGCTCCCGGAGGATTACCATCACGAACCTGCGAATTATTTTATTAGCCACATTGCTTGGCGGAAGAAACCTCTTTTCATTCAGCATATACTCTCACACGCACAAATGTGTCGTAAAATATTATGGCGTGTTCGAGACTGGAATAAGCATGCATTGAAAACAGTACTTTCATTACGCTATGTCAAATACAGTTAGAATATTCTAATGTGAACTATGAACGTACCCATTGAAATTGAAATGGGAAAATTCTTTATTGACTACACTCTTATTTTTAAAAAGCAATATAAGATGGTCAATGGCATTAAGTATCGTACATTGAATTCCACTAATTTATACACGCTTGTTAATTGAACTTATTTTTGTTTATTGAAAAATGTCTTCTTCTAATGCTAAAATTAAGTTTAACTTGCCGATCCCGGAAAGGGTGTCGTAATTCATGAATTATTAGCCCTTTTTACAGCCAGCGTTAAGTATACTTAGGGGTTGAAAACCGTGTCTACAGTGCCGCACCCAAGTATACTCATTTGTGTAGCGGGCGTTTAAAAAACCTTTCAGCCGCTTAGGGTTCCAAATGTTTTACCTGGCTTCTCATTCAAATCATTTTATCATAAATAAATCTCATTTATAAAAATGAACTTCCAATTCTATACTCTTTAAGAAAAAATTAAGCTGTCTTTGAAAAATTGTATTCTCTAGGTTTATCAAAATAGTTCATCTTCGTAAATAATCAATACGTTTCCACAAACTTCTACCGCGTCTGCCGATGACATGAAATTTTACGACGACTGACAGCATTGTAATCTATCAAACACTGTTGAACTATTTGAAAGAATCACGAAACGTGTCATAGAATATTGACAACTTTACCAATTTGACGTGCAACGTGCCTGTTTATCATCCGCGTTCAAATTCTCTTCGTACAGATATAAATAATCTGTCAAAATAATATCCATATGTATATATGTAAATCATAAATAATTCTCAACGGTTATCTATGAATATTTTTTATCAGTGCAGATTTAAATTAATAGAAACAAAATGTTGTTAGTTAGAAAATTATCATAATGCATTCGTTATTCTTTAATTGACTAGATGATTTCTGACTAAAGAATTGATGGATAGATCTTTTAATTAAAAAGATTTATCGGTACCAGGAACTACCATTTCCGTGTCTGAGAAGCCTGTCCTAAGCTCTACCATGCACAGATTATTGCGATCTTTATTGATCATACTTCGAAAAGTTATTTTTGACATACTACTTTTAAGATCAATTTGAATACAATAATTATAGTGAGATCTTTTTATAACTTATGAATAATAAATGTATAACATAGATACATACACATAGAGCAGAGGCATAACTTTATAAAACTATAGTATTATAAAGTTAATTATAGTGAGATCTTTTTATAACTTATGAATAATAAATGTATAACATAGATACATACACATAGAGCAGAGGCATAACTTTATAAAACTATAGTATTATAAAGCGTCAATATAATCACGATTTATGAAAATGAATTCAACAATGCTTACCGACTTTCTTGTAATTAAAAATATTTGATGTATGTTTATACCTTTATTTTGTCGAAGGATGATGTTTAGCCATTTTGTTTCGTTCATATTTACCATTTTCCTTATTTTGCTTTGGACTTAAATAAGTAGGGTGGGATTGGTGGGATTGAAACGATGAGGATACCACGGTTGGGATAAAAAAAATTTTTTAACTTGAAAAGGCGTGATGGTGCCACCATCTTGCGATGATTCCTATTAACAGAGCCGCATGTGACACAACAGGTGTATCCTCGTAAATAGTTCTTATTTTAAATTTCAGTTTTAATTATTATTGATTAGTATAAAAATATTCTGGATTTTATTTTTACGTGCATTTTTATATTGTTAAGAAACTCAAAGAAATGGCGTCAGAAGACCATGTTTCAGAAATTAACATGGAACGGTACATACAACAATCTTAGGACCCTCGTTAGGATGAATTTTACATACATTTTTTATTTTTGCAGTCTATCTATTAATAACAATGGCAGTGGTAAAAGAGAGAATTATATAAGCTGGCCGGAATATTTTATGGCTGTTGCATTTTTAAGTGCAAAGCGTAGCAAAGATCCGCGCACCCAGGTTGGTGCCTGTATCGTAAATGAAGAGAACAAAATTGTAGGTATTGGATATAATGGAATGCCAATTGGTTGCAACGATGATCAATTTTCTTGGATCAAGGATACCTCTGATCCATTAAGGACAAAGTCACTTTATGGTAACATCTCGCTCTTTCTGTATCTATTTATTATGTTCAGATCATACTCTTCGTATCATGTTATATTACAATAATAATATCAAACTTCTAGTATGTCATGCAGAACTTAATGCTGTTTTAAATAAGAACTCTAGTAGTGTTAAGGGTTGTACGATTTATGTTGCACTTTTCCCATGTAATGAATGTGCCAAGATAATAATACAGTCTGGAATAAAATCAGTTGTGTATGTATCTGATAAGCACTCACATAAGAAAGAAACTAAAGCTGCAAAAAAAATGTTTGATGCAGCAGGTGTTGAATACAGGTATTTCCATTAATTAGTTATATTTATTTTTATGAAACTTGTATAAATGTCAAAATATATGACAAGCGACCACAAAAATTAATTTTTCATGTATTGTTATTTCCTTAAATCTATGTACTTCATTAAGCTTACAAACTTTTTGATAGAATTCAATACATGTTACTCAATGTGATGTATGGTCTTAGTTACAGTAGTAATAGTAATAATATGTACTTAGGTATGCAAAGCATTTTTTTTTCATTAAGTTCATTTATTACTTATCTTTTCAGTCAGTATGTTCCGAAATCAAAACAGGTGATAATTGATTTTACTGAAATTGATGGACAAAAGGAAACTAATTGATACATGCATGTATGATAGAAGGCAATGTGAGTAAGTAATGGTAATGTTATAATGAAAAATTTCTTTATACACTTATTCATGATTTATTTAATTTCTTTTATAGCATTTTGCAGATTTTAAATTGTAATTAATATTAGTTGTTGACAATACAAATGTTGCTCGTGATATTGTTGAACTTTATTCAAAAGATTTGTTTTCATTATTTACATGTAAAAGCGAATGAAATTGATAGAAAGAAGAGACACTTTATGGTATACGGGATTTTTACAGGTCTAATTATTTTAAAATTTAGCGTTATTCATATAATGTTTCGTGGGAAATAAATAAAACAATGTACAGGTAGCAAAAAAATTTAGCAATAATACAAACATTACTTTGCGGTGTTGCGAAATAACATTGTTTGCAAACTGATTGCAATTGTATATTATACAGATGTAAATAGCGATAAAGTATGACATGATAAAATTATGTAACGAATATACTATTTCCCCAAAATGAGAACATAGTGTCTTGGTATTTTCACAGAACGATTTAAAGAAGGGCAATAGCTGACATGTGATATAATTCTCATGTCTCATTATTAATGTAACAACAAAGGAATTAAACAAGAATTTTTATATGATAATGATAATACGTTTTATGTACATATTATACATATCTAAGTTCCTGTCTTTAAAATTCACTTACGTTTGTAGTCACAACTATAATGGAGGAGCGTTACATTGAAGAGAATAATTACACGTGGTGACTGAATTCATCATATAGTGAAATATTTAATACCACGAAGGCATAAATACATATTCTGAACTTGTACGCAGAAAAAGCGTACTTGTCATAAGTCTGTATAGTTTGGTTTATTTTTGCAAAAATCACAATAAAATTATCTGCATCTTATGTCAAATGGCAGTAAATTATTATAAAAATACTTAAGCAACAACAACTTACGCGTATTATAATACATGTATTAATTTGTTCGTTATCATTAAGTATATTTTTAGTGAAAATAAAAAATCGTCTTAGAAATTGGATCGTATACATTGATAAACATTTTACGAGATCTATATGATGAATTCATTTACATGAAGGAGATGGAAGAGGATGCGGTTTGAGGAACCCATATTTCTCGTTTATCTGTCCGATTAAATCAAGGACTCGACGACAATTTTGAATTGAGTCTTCTAAAAATCGATATACCATCCTTAATGAACATCTTTTTTATTTTCCAAAGATTTGATAGTTAATTATGAGCGAAATAGAAATTTTCAATATTGAGGTAACAACCTCCGATAAAGATTGGAGCAACTAACGTGTACCTTTCCGAAGTGTAGCAATTATGCGAAAATACAGGCGTACTGCAGATAGTCTATAAAATCAAGAAAGTAACATTAAAATATAGCAGCACTTCGGTAGATGCATGGTACCTATATCATGAGTGACGTATAATAGTATAATGTTTACTATTTTTTCTAATGAGATTTGCTTATAAGAACTTCGTATATCGAGACTATTACGATGATCGTATCGTATTTCCTTTTCGTCGTACAATGATCAAATGGCTAATAATACAGACAATTTGTAGAACATCTACATTATCGCATACTTTACGATATCATTTGCGTAGCCCTGAGAAACATTCCATGCATTTACAGAAGGTATCAGTTTAAATAATATTACTCTTGACTGTATTAGGACAGAAGATTATTCCATCGATTAATTTTGCCTGATGAATCTTTTTCTACCCGGCACTGTATTACGAACGAATCGAAATGTTAAATATAAAGTGCTATGTGAATACAATTCGATGCAAGTACCTTATTTTTTTATGATTACCAGTAAGTTGATTTTGAATGAGTTTTTTTAACATCGGCACATCAACTAATCGCGAAATTATATTCTATGACTTAAATAAGATAGGAAACGCGTGTATATGTGTGTACGTGTATGTGTGTGTGTATATATATATATATACATATACAATATGTATGATTGTGTATATATATATTTATATGTATATATATATATATTGTTAAAATAGTAGTTGAAATATGTACAAACATTATCACTAGTTTGTAGTATCTGCATTCTGCATCTTGTTGAATTATTTTTTGTTTCTCGTTCAAAGCAATTAAAAACTTATAAATATGCATTGGTACTTCAAAAAATAAACGAGGTAATCATAACATGGTTCAATTTAAACTGGTAAACTCGAACGTTACCTTTTTATTAAAATTTCTGTAATCCGCTAACGTACAGAGTACAGAGATGCATGATATTTTATCGTTCTGCTTGTTTTCTTTTGCTATCGATACTTATTATTTTCGATTTATCATATACTTTGGTAATCTGCGTACACAATACGCATTTTTTATTGTTCTTATAGTAACTTTCACAGAGACTTTCGTAAAATGGACACTACTTCCGTATTGACTGCTCTCTTTCGCTCTCTCGCTCTCGCTTTCTCGATGGAATATCAGGGCTCCAATCCAAACGCAGATCATTACCCTGGGTTTAAACGTAGGAATAGAATTGTGTTTCTAGAAGGAAAATGTTTGATCGTTCGTTCGGCGAGTGCGAACAAACTTCGTTTGCGAATGAAGTGAACTAGAGAAAATATTATACGACGTGGAACGAAATCTATCTTCGAGAAATGTAACGACGAACATGCGTGACACAATTATCCGATGCTCGATGATCGTCTAGTTTCAAAACTCTACACAGTAGAGTGTTTTAATGTAGACATCGCTGAAAATAGTACACCTTAACATCAAGTAGAAATATTCATAGAGCGCGCATTATGAATGTATACAAGTCTTGTATTTTGTACCAATGTGTTAGTTTACGCACGTCATTATATTTTACACACTGTACTCCATTCAGTATATCCCTCCTCGTGTCCCCATCCCCTAAATCTCACCTCCGCACTAAACATTTTCACTCTTTTGACGATCCGTCTCTTCTTTTTTTTTCGTTGCTCCACTCTATCGGTAAGAGCGCTTGCTTCTAATTCGTTCTGTTCCAATTGTTAATTAATATTTAGCTAAAGCCATCCATTTTCTTCGTTCACCTAAAATTCATTTTGGCGACGCTCGATCTTACGCCCCGCCGTGTTATAATTTATTATTAAAGATTGTTTATCCAGCACTGTCCCCAGCACTGTCCACACTACATGAAACCTTCCAGGAACAGTTCGTGTATAATACATGTATTTAATAATTATCAATATTAAATCCGCCAATTTCCCTTTCTCTTTCACTGTAATATGTTCATCGTATCGTTCTCTTTGTTTTCAGTTTTTTAATATTTCTTATTAACATAGATCAAAACGTAGCTCAGCACAGTTTTCCTCCTCCCCTCCCATTGCTTTCGTCACGTCTAACTACGTAGTAATTCAATGTACGCTGAACAGCGCGTGCCTGGATCAGTTCTTGATGGAATTCTCTTTTTCTTGATTCTTGATAGTCACCTTCGTTTCCGGCGGTCGGAAAGCGGTCGCGTAAGGATACAGTTTATGACATTTCGTCATGTATTCGGTTATCGCCGTTTCGCAATGGCCAAAGTCGCCGCAGCGCAACGCTTCCAACACCATCGTACAGTAGCGTAGCGTCACGCCTTCAAGACCCTCGATGTTTGTGAGCATAGAGAGAACTTTTGCTTGAGCAGATGGGTCTAGGAGGTACAACATTCTTGCACCCTGTAGCAAGTGCGGCAGTGAGTTTCGATTCGCTTTGAGAAATTCAGCATTTAATTGTGTGGCCGTAGACGCCGAGTAGATTAACGCGGTCTGCTGTTTCACGACCTCACCTACCGGTCCTTCCGATGGCGAGCGATTGATATGCAACATGAAACGTACGAGACACGTGTGAAGTTCCGGATTGTTCGGGTCCAGGCCGTGTGCACGTTTTATCGATCTTAACATCAGTAACGTACGACCTGTAACATGCATTCAATTTGTATAAATCCGAAAACTAGGTCGAAGTTTACAGTTCAATGTCTTCCTACCTTTGCGTATGTAAATCTCAAATGCCATTAGATGCGTTTCTATTCTGTTTGATGCCAGATCCTGCAGCGGTTGTAGAAATTTGATTGCCTGTTCCAAAGGATCTTCCACCTGGAAAAAAATTAGCTACCATGAATCGATCCCGGATTATCCCGAAAGCAATTAATTTTTCGTTGGATTCCATAACGTACCCTTTCGAGTTTCTCAGGTATAAGTTCGTCCAGCGTCGGCTGTTCCAAATCAGGATCGGTTTGCTGCCGAGATTTATTGTGCTGTTCCCTTTTTTCTTGAGCTTGAGCAGCCTGCTGTCGTTCAAGCTCAGCCTTTCGACGTTGTTTCCTTTGTTTATTTCTTAATTTCTTTAACTCCGATGGTGCTAAGTTTTCTGCAACAATATCAACACAAATTATAAATATAATGTACGTCGGTCTTTATCTTTTAATTTTTCTTAATAAATTCATATCCATCGATTCTTTCGCTATTGATAATCTATTCTACTTTCCAGAGAGTATAAATTGTTTCTGACAAGAAAAGAACTCTCGTTCTCCTAAACATTTAAGCACCGTAATATCATCGTAATTGCGGCAATGGTAAGTGGAACTGTCCCCGTCGCGGTTTCGACACACACGCCACTTTTACCGGTGCTTTGACCAAGGTCAAGCGGTTTCCGCCGCGGCCGGTGGCAAAAGCAATTCCGCCCGGTTTCGCAAAGCATTTTCTAACTTTTCCTCGCCTCTAGTCGTAGCCAGACCTACTGACAACTGTTTTGTAGGTCTGGCATGCATGCACGTGTCACGCGTGCTCCGCGGTCACGTGCAGCCGCGCCGGCTTTACCCGTGAGAGACACCGACCGGAGGAAAAGGAGGAAAAGGTGGAACCTGTTCGTATCGCCATAGCGATCGATCCTAATCTGAAGGATCTAGCTCTAAGAAAAGGTTTTGATCGTTGGAATGAAATAAACCTAATTTTTTTGTATATTAGGTAGCGAGAAAAGTTCGTGCGGATTTCTTAGATCAAAATCGAAACCCATATACATTTTCTTAAAACATGATTGTATTCAATGAAGCTATCGCCATTTACTTCCGCGACTCATCCTGAATTTTGCTTTTAAAAAATGTGGTAATCGTCCGTTGTCCGATAAATGTTCCAGTACCTAATACATTCCCATATAGATAAAGCAACCTTCTAACACGGTTTCTTGACTTATAACAAATCCAATCACACGGATTTATAATTAATCGTGAAAAAGTACGTCCAAGGCGATCGAAGATGTTTAAATTGTGCTAATTCCTTGAGCACTTAACTTGCTCAGTGGGCATTAACGTTTTAATTATCTGCGTTCCATTATGCAGTTTTATAACACGAAAATCACGCTCGCTTTCCAATTATGTAAGAAATAGTTAATGCGTTATTAGAACGCGATAGAGAGAGATAGGGAGTCTGGCTGCGTGCTTCGTAAATTCATGAATACCATAGAAATTACCGTGATACGATACCACTGATATTTTTATTCTTCCTTAAATCACTTTATACACTCATGCAACATTATCCGGTCACGTGTATATCGTTAATGAAAGGAATTCGGAAGTATTTATTACGAAACAGAAAATATCTGAATATGTAAGCGTATCTTGTTAAAATAAAGGCAATAACATGTAAATAATTAAAAATAAACAATTTTATTATTTGTGAAAAAATGGTTAATTTCCGTTAGTCTCATTGATTAAGAAATAGGCATGCGAGCATTATGTCTCTTTGACTATACTTTAAGAACATAAATAAGGAAACTTGCATGTCCAAGAAAACGTCCAATTTCTTTCTTGAACCACTCTTCACAATTTATTCCCTTCAATCCAAATCGATAAAAAATAACGAATCAACCTAATGTCTTTTCCCAACACGCCACACCCTCAATGAAGAAATCAGAATAAAAATGTCACATCCCAGGAGCGATACACGAGAGACTAAAGTTAATTCGATTAAATCCAGAGAATAAAGGCGAGTCATTATTTCCCGTACAATAGTCAGTGTAGGCCGAGTTCGATCTACTCGATCCTGTAACACGTCCCGTAATCTGGTGCACCATTATTCTCTACTGTGTAATAAACTTCTCTGAGCCGTGATAACTACAATTCTACGGTGCATAATAGCTGTCGGACTACGAACTTCTGCTCGAGAGAAGCGGCGATAGCAGCTGGCTCGTTGCAGGAAGCACATGGCGAACAGTCTTGGTTGGTTTTAATTGGTTTCGGCGGTAAAATATAGTTAGCAATTAGGGGCGGGTACATGGCCGACGGGTGGGAAATTCTTCATCCTTGACAAAAGGGGACCTTGCCTGCTCGCGGATTACGAGCACGCTCCGGAATGTGGAGCAACAGGCGGGTACTGGCACGGCACGCAACAATGTTTATGCAAATCGCATCACCCATCGATTATCACGATGCGATTATTGGAAGCGTTTTCTTAGCGTCCATCCTTTATGAGAAAATCACTTATCAACGTGTAACGCCTCGAAAAATCGATCCTTGAAAATTGAAACTCTAACGTTGCGAAAGCAATTATATTGTAACGAAGGAACGCACAGCAGCGCACCGGTTTCGTGTATGCATTCCGATGCACATGGTGTATCGATGATTTCTATTTAGATCGCGTCCGACGAATTTCACACGATTCTGGTAACAGTAGAAAGTCGCTCGAGCTCGATTTCGTTGCAATTCCTGTGGTTGCGTGTGTAAATTCGTCACGCTATTTTGATTGTAACGTATACAACATTATTGGGCACGATGCGCCTAGGACACGAGGTTGCCTATCCGGAATGTTGAAGAGTCATTATATCCGCGATACATGATCGCGTTTGTTGTTTTCTTTCCCATGCCGGGAAATTGTTTATCGTGAAATCTTTATTTTAAATGTATACGATTCTTTTTGCGCATCTACACCGAATATCGTCGTCAGCGTTTTAAAAATACTACCTACATCTAGGTTACACTTAGCATAAAACGCATCTGTCAACGGATTCAGATTCGCTGAGTGCAATAATTGATGCTTAGGTAAGAAACTTTAAGTAGTGTAAATGACGGGGGCGGCAAGGCCGGTGCAAAAAGGCGGCGTGGCGCAGTCATTAGGCAGCTGGAGAACACGGATAAAAATGTTCAAATGACGCTTTTATCTTCATAATCGAGTACGCAGAAAAGCAGTTGTTATTTCGATTTAACCAAGCAAGCTGTCGCAAACATACACCCACAACGCGAGACGCCTTCAACGAACGCGTTTCCTTCCCTGAATTTGTTGTGCCGTGGGAACGACACATATTTTTCAGAATTTATTATAATCTATCGTAGCAAGGGAAGACGCGTTACTGTGTCTTTATTCATTTCCTCGCGTCCTTGTACGTAATTCGCGTAATTCATATGTGACGCAAGATAGTTTTGCTCAGTTCGATGAACGTGAAAGTCTAACACGGAAATGTACGACCAGTATCGGTAATCGGTTACTCAACCGTTCGATAATAAAAATAGTATCTACTTTGGGAGTTCGTATGATTGGGTGAGAAATGAAATTATGTCGCGAAACAGCAGAGACACCTTCTGTCTCACAGTCCTCATAAATTCTTAGAGGAAATTCGAAGTTAATTTCAAATTAGGAACAAAATTGGAACTGAGAAATTATTAGTACAAGTAGGTGAAACGTTACTCGTGTTAGTTAATTTTCTGAACAACGAAGAGGTTTTATGGTTTGAGACCGTGGGCGTGAGACAGGAGGTAGAAACAATCCTTCATTGACATGTTTCGTACTTCCTGTTCAAATCATTCTGTGCTTACGCTTAAGTAATAAAATTTTTAAATCAGTTTTTAGCAGATACTTCTAATAAAAGTTTTTTTCTAAATTAGTGTCAGAGTGTAGGATGCGTACTGTTGGCGCTTGCATAATAGACATGTGCAGGCACCACGATTACTTACAATCAATCGAAAGAACATCCCGTTTCTCTAACAACTTAATGAAGCTGCGACATTGACTAATGTTAATTTCATTCGCAGCCGATCCACGTGCCGGAGATACAGAATCACGAAGAAACGTCATCAGTAAACTGCAGATTTTTATGCAAAATAAAACATTTTTGGTATTAGTTGAAAAAAAGTGTTTTAAATAAATATTTCTTTTATCATTTAGATATTGAAATATGTAAATATTGATATTCTGAACAGCTTTATACATTAGTATTTTATCATTTCTGCACATTTAATTACTTATAAATACGTAAAGTCCACAGTTTAGTCATCAGAAAAATGGTTTTCCCTTTGTCTCTGATGCTAACCATAAATATCATTCAAAATTTCCCCTTTTTCTCTGGAAAAACATTCTCTTTTTCATTTCTATTTTAATATTTAGTATCATCAGCTAATTCTTTCGTCATTCTTAATGTGATGATAAGTACACCCTCTGAATTTCCTACATCTCATTATATGTACCTACGTGCATCGATGTTCCAACAGTTAAATTTGAAATATTAAGGAGGACATAAGAATTATATATTTGCCACGTGCCTAATGTACCTGTCAGAAGATTGGACGCACGATTGAATACATAGGCCGTATATCATACATTAATATGAATCGACATACGGACGTAATTCCATCACAATTTATCACGCTTGTAACTACGCGCTCCTATCAAAGAAAAAACGTTGAATGTATCATTAGAGGATTACGAAATGGAAGAAGCTAATTGTGAGGGCGGTTCGCATCGCAAGAACGATCATAGACGTGTTCTTTTCTCGGCGATCACAGTCATTTCGTTACTGAAACATCGTTGCTCATGGCGTTCCTTGTAATCGTAGAACGAACAACGCGACGATGTGAGTCTTGCACCGTCTATTAACTTGCAGCCTATTGTCATTACGTTCCCGAGTATCGCGTATCGTCAAAGTGAATGAAGACGATGGATATATAGGTTTTCTAGGTCAGAACTGCGTAATCTAGACTGTTTTGTCATGGTCTCTAACTCGGATTATTTCTAGAAGCGTAACACATTTAATGGCTGTTGAAACGATACTGAATGAAGTATTTATGTTCCCTCTAATATTCTTTTTATTACCATTTACGTTTTTTCTGATATTTTTCTTCTGATAGTTTTAAATAACCAGCAGTTTCTTTCACTGTAGATTAATAACAATGTACTTCCACCTTTTTTTTGACAATTTTAATAAAATTATATTACTGAATAGGATTGCAATTGTAACGAGGAACACTATTAAAAATATCCTTGCGAATTCTTATACAAAAAATATACTTTCTCTGCGAATGGAAAAGACAAAGTGTTTGATTCTTCATTCTAACTAAATCACAATTCATGTGCATTACGGCACTGTTCTACCTACGAACGAAC